AATTCGTTTCCTTTTTAATTTTAATATTTCATTGAAATCTAAATGTAATAAAACACATCAGCACCAAGGAAAAATCAGACGCTCAAAACATAATCTTTAAAATTGCAAATATATGTCAAAAGATTGTGAGACAATACATTTGGTGAAGCATTAGGCTAATTAAATCCTCACTTTCCACTGACTGAAAATCATCCTCCCGCACAGCTGAGAGGACAGGCTCAAACAAAAATATATATTTTTCTTAGAAAAAAAAATATTAAAAAAAATTTCGTATAGTTTTTCTCTTTGTTTCAATAATTTTGATGTTCAGTTATTTTCTAGAGAAAATATAAGAACGAATAACATTTGAGATGCTTCAAATCCGCTATATGCTTCAACAATGCTGAATCACTAATTCGGTTGTCAAAATAAATAAAATAAATAAAAATTAATAAAAAATGTATTATTCTAGCCTAAATAACATTAATATTATATTAATGTTATAACATTAAAGTGAAATATTCAGTATCAGAGAAGCCTGTATTAAACTGTTTTCCATGTTGTACCGGTCAATTACAATTTAATTAATTTAAACAAATAATTTATGCGCAGGACAGGCGTTTACAAGTTCGTATTCCAACAGCACTGAACATGCCCACATTACCATACTCAGTTGAAAGGTGAAATAACTCAAACTCCTTGTGAGAATGGAGATGTCTGCTTATTTAAGCCAGTCTGTAAAATTAAATTCCATGCGAGATTACTGCGCAGCAGCTGGATCTAATCTGTCTGATGAAACGAGACGATTTCCATGGCTCATGTGCTAATAATGAGACTGTCTCCACTCCGTGCAGGGGATCATATTTGTCTCATTAGATTTAGACTCAAATGTCTAAATTAAGTTTTTCTGTTTTAAAGAGCATTTACTCATTTTGAACCTTGTATTAAGCAATAGTAATCTGAATGGTAATTTTTGCGGAAAAACGCTTTAAAACACACAAACGCACACCTTTATTTGTTGTCATTTTTTCTTGCTTTGAATATATCACACACTGTTTAATCAGTTATCAGTTTAAATTATGTAATAAATAAATAAATGAATAAATAAATAAAAATAAATAAATAAATAAAAAAAAACCAGCATTAATTTGCTCCCTCATGTTGGGTACAGTGCGTACTGCAGGCCCCACTGCACATATACAGACCCATGTCACAGACACATTTTTTACTAAATAACCTAGACTATACTATAAAGTAAGACCTTGCCTCTTCAGAAAGAATTTGGAGAGATCTGGTACCCGCGTCAGGTCAGGTGCACACACGCAGCAGCAGAGGCGCACTCAACTCACACGGGAGAAAACTGTACTAGTTAACATAAAGACTAGCAGCCTAATTCATTACATGATTTGGTAAACTAATTCTTTGAATACAACTCTCTTGAGCTCTAAAAGGAAAAAAAAATGCAAAAAAAACGTGCTGTTAAATTAATATTAGCAGAGACGCAACTGCCAGTCATTTGTACATGAGGTTTTTTTTTCATATTGGAGTAGCCTAATAAAATGTTTAGTGGGACACTGCACATTATCACAGTAAGCTACACTATAATTAATATTTAAATGTATTATATTCATTATTATTAACATTATTAAAATTAAACTTAAATTGACATAACGCAGAACCCTTTTAAATGTTTGCTTTCATTTTGACATAGCTAAAGCGCATTAACAGTTGTGAAAGAAACATCCCATTATGCAGCAACAGTCAAGTTAGGGCACTTAAAAATGCCTTTTGCGTTTAAATGAAACATACGAAAATATATTTTAGGCCTATTTTAACAGCTAAAATACAGTTATCATATCGATATTGTTTTGATAGCTCATGGCCCTAAATAAAGAAAATGTAACCTGAAAACAAGCTATTATAATAGGCTTAGCAAATAAATAAAATCAAAAAATAAAACATAATGGTTTATGATGGCGTTTTTACAAATGCCAACCGGACAATATCAAGAAAAGAAACCAAACTTATTATAGCCTAACATAAATCTTTACTTTTACCTTTAAAACTATGAAAAAAAAGTTATATACTCAGGTGAGTTACCTGCGTGTTATCTATGACAAAATTTAACCAATTCTCACGGTAATAACTAAATGTATGTATCTTTTTTTAGGTATTTTTCTGGCTAATGCCTTAAATGTAACTAAGTAACACAAATAGCTACCGTTTTTTTATTTTTTTAAATGACATTTATATTGGTTGGGTAAGGCTACGTGAAGCGTGATGACTTCCCAGCTAACATAAGACCAGCGGGCCACTGGCGGCCCGCCGGCGGTCCACCGGCAATTTCCTCATCGTTATTCCAGCGGCCCACCAGCGGCTGCCGCCGCTTTTCCGACGGTGGTCCGCCATCGGATCGCTGGTTTTAAATAAGTGTTAGCTGGCGGCCCACGGTCGGTCCACAGGTCATTTTTAAATATTGTTTTAGCCTGTACAATTGCATTTAATATTAATTTGTCCAATAATTAAATCAAGTACAAAATACTTAATCATTATAAAATTTATTCATAATACTACATAACGAGCATACGTTAAACACTTAGATTATGGTGAATTGTTTCAAAAACACATACGTTAACAAATATAACAAAATAAATATAAAATGCATATAAACTACATAAAATTACGCTTTACAGTAGTTTCATTAGTTAATGTTAAAGGGTTAAATATGAACTAAGTATCACCAATACTTGTACAGCATAATTAATGTACAGCATTTACTAATGCATTAATAAAATCCAAAGTCATGCTTGTTAACTTTAGCTTATAAATTGTGAATTAAAATGAAAAAACAATGAACAACTTTTTTTACCATTTACCAACATTAGCAAAGATGAATAAATACTGTAATAAATGCATTGGTTACGTTAGTAAATACATTAACATTAACTAATACATACAACCTTATTGAAAAGTGTTACCCATACAACAATAAGTTTGTCTATAATAAAGACAAACTTTGAGACTTATCATTATATATAAAAATAAACTATAAAAAACATTATAACATTATAATTTTTTTTATTATTTATAATTTAACATTATTATAATTATTATTATAATATATTATAACATTAATATAACATTTAACATTAATATAAGTAACAAAAAATAATTACATTGTGAATAAATATTAACATATTACAATAAATGTAAACATTATTATTACAAAATCAAACTGTAAAATATCTGGAAGTTATTAAGAACTACACTGGGGCAGCACAGTGGCTCAGACTGTCACCTCACAGCAAAAAGGTTGGTGGTTCAAGTCCCGGTTGGGTCAGTTGGCATTACTGTGTGGAGTTTGCATGTTTTCCCTGTTTTGGTGTGGGTCTCCACCACAGTCCAAACACATGCGCTATACTGTGTAGGTGAATTTGAACATTGTGTAGAAGTGTCTGTGAATGCGAGAGTGTATGGGTGTTTCACAGTGCTGGGTTGCAGCTGAGAGGCCATTTGCTGTGTAAAACATATGCCAAAGTAATATCCAGATTCTTCCGCTGTGGCGACCCCTGATATTAAGCTGAAGGAAAATGCAGTTTCTTTTGTCTGCCCCCTCATGATTAGCAGATCCTAATAAAAATGTCTTGGAGGCTCCCTTCCGATGTCTCTCTTGTAGCAGGCTTCTTTCTTATCCTGAAATAACAGAATCATCAGTCATCATTTTTGTCCATCATCAGTAACTACGTCACTATAAACAATAATGTTTGTATTTTTATTGTCTTTTATTGGACATCAAGACTGAATTGATTTGATTGATTAAATTAATTTACAGTTAAGTAACACTAAAATATGTTTACAGTTTAAAATAATAATTTTCAATGTCAATACATTTTAAAATGTATTTGGTAACATTTTATTTTGATGGTCCATCTGAGTATTAGTAGACTGTCTGCTTAATATCTGCTGATACTGCTCCTTCAACAGACATTAAACTGACAAGAAGAAACTTTGCAACTACATGTCAACTTACACTAACCCAACCTAACCACAACCCTAACCTAACAGACAACTTATAATCTAATAAGAATTAGTTGGCATGTAAATGCAGTATAACTTAAACTCAACAAACGGACCCGCAAAATAAAGTGTGACCATGCAATTTATTAATGTGAGGTCAAAGCTGATTTGTCAGCATTATTACTCCAGTGTCAGAGGACTCTTCAAAAATCATTCTAATAGGATAATTTCCTGCAGGTTATTAATATTAACATTAATATATATTACTAACAGATCTGCACAAAACACCACAGTCCTTAGCAAATATTTAATGGTGCATGCTGTTTATGTGCAAATTAAGCTTACATGAGTTTTTAAAATAACATGTAAAGTGAAACCTCTGATAAGATTGTAAAGCAATGTGGGTCCACATTACTTTATAGTGCTACATAAATGCTTATAGTATACATTTATTTGCAGCTAAGAATGTCTAAATCATCTTACAGATATGAATGGCAATGATCTGTTTGCAAACATTTAAAATAAAAAATGAAAAACGTCAAAGTGTCAGTCTATTGTAATATCATTTACTACTTCTGATGGATATTTACTTATTGAAGGATATTTGCAGAACAACTGTAAAGAGTCAGTAAAAAAATTGACAAATCAACATGTCAAAATTGAAACAGTGGCACAGGATTGCAGCCAGGTTCGTAACTTATTCTGTTGTGCTCTGCACTATTTGTATTGTATTGGTATTTTAGAGCTTTTGTGTTTGCAGTGCAATTTAACCACAGTTAAATTCAGAAGTGATCTGGTTGAGGAGAGTTAATGCATGGAATTTTTAACATGGACATCTAGTGCATAAAGGGAACATATCTCAAAGCATTATGAATATTTCAAAATAAATACATTTTGAATTGAAATCTACATCAGTTTCCAGATCTTTGTTTTAAAGAACTGCCACTCTGACACACACTGTCATTTGCTCATTACTGTCTGGCAGTCAGTCAAAACTTTACTTGCATATAAATATGTTCAGCAGCTGATTGGCTCTAGAACCATTGGGCCCCTTTTAAGATGCTGTTGAAAACAAAAGAAAATGAGAAAAAAAGACATGACATAAATGAATATGAGTTGTGCATCATGCATGTACCAAAAAAATTATATTAATTTTTGGGCTTAAGAATGAGTTTAAGTGTAAGGGACCTAAAAATATATATTTTAAATGTGAATCCTAAAATGTAATTCATGGCTGTAATTTAAAGCTGAATTTTCAGCAACATTATTTAAATCTTATGTCACTTTATCCTTCAGAAATCATTCTAAGATGTTGATTTAGCATTTAAGACTGAACTAATATGTTGATTATCAAATGGTGCTGATTTGCTGTTTAAGAAACATTTCTGATTATTATGAATGTTAAAAACAGATGTGATGGCAAATACTTGTGTAAGCTATTTTCTTTTTTTCCAGGATGTATTGTTTATTGTTGAATAGACCCTAGACCTTAAACGGTCATGTATACTACTGCAGTCAGTGAGATTTTTTAAGAAATGCATGCTTATTAAACAAGGATGCATAAAACTGATCAGAAAAGAGTTAAGATTTTTGATTCAAATACTGTTCAATTTAAACTTTCTATTCATTAATGAATTCTGAAATAACAAAACATAATAAAAATAAGAAATATTGCTTGATCAGCAGCAAATTATAAATACAATATTACATTTTGGACTGGAGCACTGGTGCTGTAAATTCAGCTTTGAGAAAAGCAAAGTAAAAATTTGTTTAAAACCACTCATTTACGTTTGCATGTCAAAACCTTAAAATAACTGCAATCAAGACATGTATCAGATGCATGATAATATAGGGATTTATTATGAAAAATGCAAATGAATCTATTTAACAGTTTATTATAGTCTTACCTGTGTTTCCTCCATCTCTGTGATCAGCTCCCTTCATCTTGGCTCTTCTATTTTGTTGTAGGGGCAATTTTGTCACTCCTGAAACAACAGAGCACTTTTTGAAATCAATATTAGTTTACATTACTGTGAAATATCAAAGTAAGTTAACACATGTGTACTAACTTTAACGTTTTAATTTGCTCTCCTTGACAGTAAAGTGCATATTTTAGGATAAATAAAGTAGACTACCTCCAATAAAACATTGACAAACCTCTCATGTACACATAAAGATGTAATTAAAAGCCAAAACTTGAATAAACAAGAGCTAGTAGCCTAATGCTAACGTTTCCTCTGCTAAGATGCTAACGGACTTTTTCCAAAGACACAACCGTCTCTATAAAATACATATTCAACTGAAACATGTCAATTGTCAGTAAGAAAGGTGTCGGAAACAGTTGTATGTAACATTTGCATGATTTTAGCGACTAAACTTACCTGAAATTAGTGAAAACTGCCGCATGAGAGAAGTGCTGTTGACGGTCAGGGGTCGTGTCGTGTCGTGTCGTGTCGTTGCTCCATTTCCATGACAACGCTCTCTGCTGCAGTGCTAGAATAAGGCTCCGTAATGCACACTTTAAAGTAATGCAGCCTGAACGCAGCATTTACATAAACATTTAAACAATTTAAAAACAATTTAAATAATGGCATTTAATTTTAAATCTTTATTTTTAAACGTATTTTTTTGTGTTATGCTGATTTCACTATACCGGTATAGAATATAGTCTAACCGGGTTAGCTTGCATGTGTGGGCATAGTTTGATGTCTTTACTTAAAACTTTTAACACTTATTATTTGAAATAAAACGAAAATAAATAAGGAGAATAAAATAATGTAAAGCACTTGTTTGGCGCTGAAAGATCTGTCTCATTTATATAAACAGCATCGTTGCACTACCTAATTCATTGATGTAATAATGAAACTGTGCGTATTATTATTACTATAAAAGTATATAATACTGCCTTAAGTCAGTAACTTGGGCAGCAATGCAAAGTAATAACAAATAAGTACATAAATAGCCTAAATGAAAGGAACAAGAGGGTCCAAAATCAGTCATAAGGTCTGCCCTATTAAAATGCCCCTGGCGCAGGGCCTGTCAGGGATGGCATTGTGGAGTTTTGCTATAACGCACATCAAACGCACCCAAACAAGCTAACCAACGTATTCAAGACCACTAAAGCTGGCAGGAGCTTGATGGGCTGGAGCTAAAATCTGCATTAGCCCTCCAACTGATGTTGCCCATGCAGCCCTAATAGTATTAAGTCAGTTTGCGTTTGCATAGACCTGCTATGTCAATGTAACGTCAATGTAACTTTATATTTTATTCATTATTTTAATTTATATTTTGCTAATTAATACTTAACTGTAAAAATGTTATTGAATCTACTTAAACTATTTACGTTCAATATGTCTGTTACAATGTTTAATATGTGTTAGTTGAGAAAGTTATTGTTGTGCTCCGGCTCCTTTAAGGGAGGCGCACTGGAAAGCAGGAGAGAGAGGGAAAAAAGGAAGTGGAGGAATTCGGCAGATGCAATGCTGTTGTAATGTTGTTTGTGAATGTTATGTCGATGCTCCAGATTAAATAAAAGAAACGAATTATCACCCTGGTATCCAGCGTTTATTTGCGATGCCCACGTTGGAGAGAATGGTCTGTAAACAGCCAGAAATAAGGGTTACAACAACATGCCCGGTCACTTTTGCCAAGGCACTTCCAAAAATACATTTCTGCTGATGCCATCTATCTAAAATGAACATTAACAAGCATAAAGACGTGGAATCTATCTATGTTAAAAGGTACTTTGTAAATAAGCATTTGCTATCAGTTCAGAGTGCTACGATCAGTGGTGAATTAGTCTTGTCTGGTTCTGTTCATCGTTGATTGGGTGAGAGCAGCTCAAGCTTACTGGCTGTGGAAATCAGCGGGAGTGGTTCATTATACTTCAGGAAAGCGCCGTTTATAACGCGCGTTTCAGTGGGGTTAAAACGGCGTTTTAAACGGCGTTTTGTGGCAAGCGGAACGCGTCATAAGCCGCGCTTTTTACTAACACTAAAACGGCGTTAAAAATGGCGTTTTTTTACAGGTTTACGCGCGTTATTTGCGGCGTTTGCAATCAGAACGGCGTTTTTAGCGGCGTTTGAAATGGTATTAGCGCCGTTTAATGCGGCGTTTTAATTGTAAACGCGATTGATTAATAGTGTATTTCCGATACCTTCGGCTTGCCATATGACCTCGCTCGCGAGAGCGTCCATCGTGCGCACAGATTATAATAGGCTCGTTTGAGGTGCGCCTCGCCTTGGCTGCATTGTAAACGAGAGCAGGCGTGCGCAATAAGAGGAGGGCTCAAAAATTACATCAGAAGTCGGACACCTGCTGAATCTCGCTGTTTAGCCACCTGGAAACGTCACCAGTGGCGGAGATCTCGTTCGCGTTTTTTATCGCAGACGAATGACCTCATGAAAAAATACTATGGTGATTTTTAGTAAATATTATTGCATTTTGAACATGTTTTTTCAGTATTGGGTTGTGTTTATAGTTGTTGTGATACCAGAGCAACTATAAAATTTAAATAGGCTATTTTATAACATGGTTCAAAAGCACTACATATACATTACTATAGCATTTTTAATATGGGAGTGGATGCAATAGAAATATCACAGTTTTACAAGAGAATTACAAAAGATGAACAGCTCATTAAGTAAAAGGGTGTATTTAAAATGTAATTCTGTATATTCAACAAACATTAAAAGAATAACAAAATAAACAGCTTATACAGCAAGAAAACTTTCAAGAAACCTAATTTGGCAACATTATAATAGAAGTAGCCATAGCAAGATGCTTTTGAGTGACGGGTCATGACAAATAAATTCTTAGGGGGTTAATTACATTGACAAGCTTATTTGGTCTATATAAACTGCTTTTACTCCAGCCAGACTAAAATAAACAGCCCAAGACTTTCTTCAGAATAAAAACTATTAGACTGTAGGAAAAACTGTGGAAATGTTCTTAGTCTATTAAACATGACTTTTGACTCCACTTACATATACATATACATATGTGTGTGTGTCTTGTTTACTACACCCTTTTCACTTCTCATATGAAACCACACAAAGATGAGGCATAATGACAAAACAGTCTGATTACCTTTGTATTTCTGAATATATGTATATATTGGATTGACATGGAATAATGCTGCTTAAAAATTACAATACAAAATTCACACAAACATACAAAAAGTAAAACTGAGAGAGAAATAAAATACAGCACACACACATCCTAATGATTTATTAGTAACATTTAGTTATATTGGATAGGTCACGTTATGTTTTACAAAGATGTGTTTTGTTTTTGTTTGCGTGTAAATCTAAATAAATAACCATATGTAATGCTCTGTATGACTTTTTTTTAATTATCAACGTAAATACAAAAAAAGGTATTCAACAAATCCAGGTAGGTATAAACCTTAGTAAAACAAGATAATAAAGTGTAATGTGTCAGTCTCATCCAATCAGCATTAAGCTGTGTCGTCAGCCAGTCGTTTCCCATCATGCTTTTGGTAACGCAGTCTTTTGAGAGCAACTGCGGCCGACTGCTCTATCCGAGGTACCTGCCTCGCGATCGCGAGAGTTTTTTGGCGCACGTCAGCGTGACATCAGAGCGAGGCGAAGGCAAGGCGGACACATTTCTAACCGGCATGCATCTTGCGGTGATCACCGGTGATCGATTCTGCGCAGATTTTGGCCAAGTCAAACGAGCCTATAGTGCGCGCGCGGGACTTGTTTTCTCGCGCTGGATCAGTCGAGCGCGCGCGAGAAGATCCCCTATGCGCTCGCGAGCTGTAGTTTTCTCGCGTGTAGACCTGTAATCTGCTCACGGTTCGCTTCTCCTCGCGCGCAAACACCGCTGCGCTCGATTAATATTGGCATTGATTTGCCGTCATAGACAAGCTTGTATTAAGAGATTGTATACCCGGCCGGTGCAAGACTCGAGATGCTATAGGAATCTGAGTAAATGAGAATAAGGTATAATAACAAATCAAAAGAATATTCAATCATAATCTAAAATAATGTGAAAGGAAACAAAATAATCTTATCAATGTTTTATAATTGGAGTCAGATAAAACGAGGATAAATATATTAATATTCCAAACCACCTCATACTAAAATTGGAGTCAGATATGAGCTAAGTTTAATATAAATCAACATTGTGCACTGGAAAGACCGAACATGCAGTGAACCTTCATCCCCCAGTGGATACAGTCATTGGACCACCTGGGTGGACCCTACAAGGGTGAAGAAGCGCATGGTCTCCAAAATAGCGGTAATTTAATAATATAATAATATATATGTATAATAAAAAAATTATTTTCTGAAATCAACTCGGCTGGCCCGATTCCAAATTCAAGTTGGTAAACCAATTTACTGTTCCACCAAACATTATTATACACCATAGTAGCGTGTAGGCTATAAAAAGGCAACATATCGACTCATGAGCACGATGACTGACATATAATATTTGTAAATAAGTGGTTGGTAAAACCTCTTCTTGGTTCACCGCAAATCTTGCCTTAAAAGAAAAGTGCATAATTTAGCCTTACCCTGAGTTTGTTTACACTCTGCCTGTATTAACATACATGCTGTATTTTAATATGGCTAATTTGGATGAATTAGTTCTAACTTTTGACAGCTTTTTCTTCTTTTTACGCGGTTATGCGCAAATTATATTTCACACGCAAGGTGACTAAAAATTGAAATTAAAATTCCAAAGATACTGAGCCATTACTACAAGTAAAAAACCAAACAAAAAAACAAAACTACAATTATACTTTAAAGGAGAACATTGACGTTTTGAAAAAAAAATGAACTGAACTACAACTAAATTATTAAAAATAAACTTGCGGGACTTCATTTATGTCCTGCGGCAAAATTATTATTTTTTTTATACTTTTAGTGATCTGCTTGAGGTAGGTCAATTTATTTTTATGCTTAATCAACAACGAAAACATAAGTAAAAATGTAAATGAAGATATAAATGAAAAAGCTTATTAAATGACTGTCCTAGTTCTATCAAAATAGCAAACAACATCTTTTTATATTTAGGCTAAAAGACGGCTTTATTTATTTATTTAGGCCTACTTATTTGTTCTGAATGTTTGTGCTTATATTTGAGTTGTCTTTTATTTCTTCAATTCTACTTTCCAAAATAAATCCTCATTGCACTTAACAAGTTTACAATAATAATAAAGTGTGTTAACAAATGTTTAATGATTAATGAAGGAATTATAATGCTTTGTTTTATCGTTTCATCTTTATTTATAAGAACAGTAGCATATTTACAGCTGCTGTATAGGCTATTTCTGTCTGTTCGCATCCCTTTGTGCCCTCTGGCGGCATATTCAAAGACTGCGGTCATACATTAAAAACTTGTGCTTGTCCATTTAAAGCGGCGGCGGTAATAGCCACATTGAACTCTCACCTACTGTAAATCATTTTAACATGTACAATACAGACTAAAAAAGCAGTGGCAATGG